CGATGAGACGGAAAAATCCGTAGCGCTGACGCTGGCTCGTTGAGATCTTTCAAAGCGCTGCGAGGATAACGAGAACCCTTCGCGTCGCGCCGCGGACGCCAGAGGTCGCGCGAGCGCGCTGAGGCGTCGGTCGGACGCGCGAGGTCGCTCCGCGAGAGGTCGAGAGCGCGCGCGCGGACCGCACGCGGCGCGGACGGCGGAGAGGCGGCGGCGAGGGAGGCGGCGACGCGCGGCGGGGAGCGCATCTTTTCAAGCGCTCGCGCCAGCACGGGCGGAGAGAACGCGAGAGAAGGCGCGAGCTAGATCTCGCGCGGGAGACGGCGGCGAGGTCGCGGCGGCGAGGTCGCGGCGGGGGCGCGCGGCGGCGTCGAGCGCGCCATCGGACGCGCCCGCGAGACGCTCGAAGCGCGCGCGAGCGCCCCCGTCGCGTCCGTCGACCCCGGCGGCATGCCCGGGCGGCCGACCTCGCGCGCGGGCGGCGGCACCGGCGGACGTTGCCCGGTGGCGGGCCGCGCGCCCGCGCCGGCGTCGTCGTCGTCGTCGTCCTCCGCCTCCTCCTCCGCGCGCGCGGACCGCGAGGGATGGGGCTCGCGCGGCCCCGTCGCGAGGCTCGTGAACGAGCTCATCGACTCCCTGCAGCCGACGCGGCAGAGCGAGCGACGACGACGCGCGGTTTTCGCGCACGTCGCGTCGCTCGTGAACGGATGCTTCCGCGACGAAAACGTCCTCGTCACGGCGTTCGGTTCCGTGCCGCTGCGGACCTACCTCCCGGACGGCGACATCGACGTCTGTTTGCTCGGTCCGCACGACGTCCTGAGCAGCGGGCCGCTGAAGCACCCGGGGAAGGAGGACTGGACGCACAGACTGCGGACGCACATCGAACGCGCCGAGGCGGAGGCGGCGGCGCGCCGACGCCGCCGCGCGTCGGAACGCGACGAAGGTTACGCGTCCGACGATCGATCCTCGGGCTCGGGTTCGGGGGACGACGCGTCGTCGTCGTCGTCGTCGTCGCGCGCGTCAGCTAGCTCGGACGCGAGCCACGCGTCGGGATCGGACACCGAGTTCGCGGTGAGCGAGATACACGTCATACACGCGGAGGTGAAGCTGATGAAGTGCATCGCGGACGGCGTCGTCGTGGACATCAGCGCGAATCAATTCGGAGGGCTGGCGACGCTCGGGTTTCTGGAGGAGGTGGACGCGTTCATCGCGCGCGACGGAATCTTCAAGCGGTCGATCATTCTCATCAAGGCGTGGGGGTTCTACGAGGGGAGGGTTCTCGGCGCTCACCACGCGTTGATATCCACGTACGCGCTCGAGACGTTGGTGCTGTACGTCTTAAACGCGTATCACGAGGAGCTGTCCACGCCCCTGGAGGTTTTGCACAAGTTTTTGACGTACTTTGCCGACTTCGAGTGGGACGCGTACGCCGTGAGCATCCACGGGCCGGTGCGTCTGGACGCGCTCGAGAAGGGCGTGCGCGACGCGGACGCGCCCGCGCGCGGGCCGCTGCTCACGCCCGCGTTTACGAAGCGCGTGCTGGATAAATACGGCAACGACGCCATCATCAACGCGGAGAAGGGTCAGGCGGGTCCCGGCGGCGGCGGAAACCGCCGAGCGATGCAGCCCAAGCACCTCAACGTGATCGACCCTCTTCTTCCGTCGAACAACCTCGGGCGCTCCGTGTCGCAGGGAAACGCGAAGCGGATACAGAAAGCGTTGCGTTTGGGCGCGGCGAAGCTGACGAGCCTACGGAACGCGATGCGAGACGGGGTGTCGTGCGAGCTCAACGCGGTGCGCGTGCTGGAGCACTTTTTCGGGTGCACGATCCGGCATCGCCGCGACGTGCCGCTGCCGTCCGCGCCGGCGACCCCGGGCGGGTGCTTGCACCCAGACGAGACGTCGCTGACGCCGATGGGGACGCGCGGGTTCTTGAGGAGCGGCGCGGTGAGCGTGCTCGCGTCGCCGTCGCCGTCGCCGTCGCCCGGGCGACGCGGCGGCGGCGGCGCGGCGTATTCGGCGGCGTATTCGCCGCTGAATCATTCGTCGTCGCCGCGCGCGCGGCAGGCGGCGGCGGCGGCGGGCGGGAGATCGAACGCGAGCGGGAAGTCCAAGAAGAGCGACGGCGGGATCGGAACGAACGGCGAGGAGGACGGCGTCATCGAGCCGCGGCGGCTCGATAAGTCCCTGAGGGGCGGCGCCGGCGGGAACGGAGGGTCCTCCTCCGACGGCGCCGCCGCCGCGGAGTCGTGGCCGCACCTCGGCCCGTCGTCGCCGGAGCGCGGCACCGCGGTCGGAAGCCGGTGTCCCGTCGTGCAGACGCAGGACCTGCACGAGGAAGAGCGAGGGCCGTTCTGGGGGCGGTGGGACTCGCTCCCGAGCGGGGAGATCGAGGCGATGCGACGCGCGGAGGCGGCGGCGCGCGCGGGCCAGCGCGGGGGGTGCCCGATGGGCCACGGCGCCGCGGGACTCCCTTCCCAGAGTGATCATAAACCCCGGCGATCGTCCGAGGTGGACACGGACTCGACGCGCGTCGCCGGCGTGGAGCAAGTCGCGGCGATGGTGAAGCGCCCGCCGCCGCCGCCGCCGCCGCCGCCGCCGCCGCCGTGGCGGCACAACCCAGAGCGCATGCGGCGCGAGATGAGCTGCCCGACGTTCTTCCCGGAGCCGCCCGCGCCGATGCCGCGGCCGCCCGCGCCGGCGATGCCGCCGCCCGCGGTGACGCCGAAGCGTAAGGCGGGTCCGAGGGTCAAGACGAAGACGGCGACGATCGCGGCGGCGGCGGAGGAGGAGGAAGAAGACGCCCCGAGAGACGTCTTCACCGGAGATCTCGAGAGCATCTGGCGTCACCTGGAGTTTGGCAGGCACTACCACCACCTCGCGATGCAGCGGCGGTTCACGCAGATGTCCGGAACCGCGCCGCACGGCGGCGGCGGGCGAGATCCTCGCGGGCGGGCGCACGCGGGGTTCGCGAAGCACGCGCCGCCGCCGCCGCCGCCGCCGCCGCGCGTGCGGCCGGGGCATCACCGCACCGGGTCGTGGAACGGGGGCGCGTCGTTCCATCTTCCAGGGCAGCCGCCGCCACCGCCGGGCCCGCCTCCGGGCCCGCCGCCCGCGCGACGGCACCAGCATCAGCACGGCGGGAAGGGCGGGAAGCCGCGGCACGAGCGACGGGACTCATGGGGGAGCCGTTCGGATCGATCGGACGCGTCGGATTCGTCGTCCGCGGCGGAGCGCGGGGGAGGGGGACGGCGCAGCGAGGACCGGATCGGGAACTGGAGCAAGCTCGTGAAGACTGCGGTGGACGCTCCGCCGCTTCCGCCGGGCCCGCCGCCGGTCGGAGCGGCGACGGCGACGTCGCGCCCTCCCGCGCCGCCGAAGAGGACGCGTTCGCCGGCGCCGACGCCGGCGGCGTGCGCGCCGAAGTGGGGGCCGAGAGGGTCCGCGCCGCTGGACATCATCGCGCGCGAGCCTCCGTCGAAGCCGTCGTCGGAGGGCGGGGGGTCGGACCAGACGAGCGAGGCGCCGTCGCGGACCGCGTCACCCGCGATTCCGGCGGAGAAAGCCGTCGCGGCAGCGTCGAACGCGGCGAACGCGGCGGCGCGGGAGAAGGCGGCCCCCGCGCCGCCGAAAGGGGTGTGGGCGTCCCTGGCCGCGGCGCCGCCGAAGAAACCTCCGACGTCCACGCCCCCGCGCGCGCCGAAGAAACAGGAACCCAACGCCGCGGAGCCGTCGAAGAGATCGGAAGAAGAACGCGTCGCCGCGCCGGCTGCCCCGGCGGCGGCGGCGGCGCCGCCGTCGCGCCCCACGAACCTCGTCGGCGCGTGGGGCGCGGGCTCCGGCGTCGACGCGCTGAAGACGACGAAGACCGCGGCGGCGCCCGCCGCGACGGCCGTGGCCGCGGCGAGCGCGAACGCGAACGCGGACGCGGACGCGACGACGTCGCCGTCTTCGGATCGAGCCGCGAGCGAGGGATCGTCGGAGGGCTCCGGGGATTCGAACGCGACGGAGAAGGAGAACGCGAACGCGCGCGGCGGCGGCGGCGGCGGCGGTGCGAGGCGGGGTACTGATGAAGGCTCGCGAGATGGCGACGACGAAGGAGGAGAAGGAGGACAGAGGCGAGGGGAGCGACGCCCGAGGAACGGCCAGCTGGAACGCG